ATTCAGCGACTTGCAAGAACAACTGGATAACCAACACAAAGAAAATGCAAAAAGATTCCAGGATCTGGAACAGAAATTCACTAAAGAAATTGAAACAGTGAAGAAAAGTCTAACGGAACTCCTGGAAATGAAGAGTCAATTCAGGGAACTATAAAACACAGTGAAAAGCCTCAAGAACAGGGTAGATCAATCAGAAGAAAGAATCTCAGAGATTGAAGATAACACCTTCTAATTAAATAAATCAGTCACAGAGATAAACCAGAGAAACAAGAGAAAAGAGCAAAGCCTACAAGAGATGTGGGATTACGTGAAGAAACCTAATGTGAGGGTCATAGGGTTACCAGAAGAGGAAGAAGAATATACTCAAGGGTATATAGAAAAAATTAGCTGGGCATAGTGGTGCATCCCTATAGTCCCAGCTACTCGGGAGGCTGAGGAAGGAGGATCGCCTGAGCCCAGGAGTTTGAGGTTGCTGTGAGGTAGGCAGATGCCATGGCACTCTAGCCCTGGTGACAGAGTGAGACTCTGTCTCAAAAAATAAATAAATAAATAAAATAAGGCCTTAATTTTCTTATCTGTAAAGTGATATTTGCCCTATGTCAGAGGACTATTATGCAGGTCAAATTAAATAATATGCATGGAAACATTGAAGAGTTTGTACATATGTACAAATTGGAGTTTGTGTAACTTCAAAGATTTTGAATCTTCCAAGAGTTGTACAGAGAGTGCTGCACCAATATGAGGTATCTTCTGTTTCGAAGTAGATCAGGAAGGAAGATGACCTGGTAAGGATTCAGTTGGGGCACAAAAGAAGGGCCAGGTAAACAGAGACTCTGTCTCAAAAAAGGGGGGGGGGAAGCAGTGTATGGGGTGGGAGGAGTACAGGAGGCAGCATTGCACAGGGTGGTTAGAGGTGGCCTTGCTGAGAAAATGAGACTTAGGGAAAGACCTGAGTGGGGGAATTCACTAAGCAGGTGTCTGGGGTTGGGTGGCCGGGCAGGAGTCAGGGTCGTGGCCCCAAGTGAATGAACATTAGCAAAGATAGCCAAAGAAGCTATTAATGAGATCTCTAGGTTTCTGGAAGGAAATTGACTACAAAATGAATTCAACTTAAAAAGTGGAATAAACCATTCTCATTCCACATCCACATGATTCCAAAGCCTCTTGTTGCTATAACCACTGACTAGTCTTAAAGGTCTAAGCATCCATGTGTTTTTCAAGTTACCTTCAAAACATGAATCGCTTTAAGCTAATAGTAATCAAACCTTAGGAGAGATCATCTGATAAGATCATGGTCTTTAGCCAATTGAGCCATTCTTCCTATGAATATAATATTTGGAAGAAAAATCAGCTTCTGCATTTAACTTTCTATTGGTTGTATATATGATGAGTGCCATTCAAATTTTAGTATTTAGTGTAAGTTTGGCCTTGAGTGATTTTCTGTTAAACATCCACAGGAAGAATTTAAGGAACAATAGGATATTGTGGCTACTCTGAGGAAGTTTAAACAGCTTTATCTCAGACACTCAGCATGCAGCTACCTAACTGAAATGCCAAACAAAACTAATCCACTCCCTCTAATGAAGAATTTACAGTAATACAGAGAAATTCCTTAACATCAGCACTTCAGAAAAAGTGCAGGAAATAAAATTAGCCTTGAGGAAAGGAACAAAGACATTAGATGAAATCGTATTACTGATGTGACAAACAGCTAATCATTGCCCGTGGCATCCAGACATCCATATCTGCAAGGTAATACCTCCTGGTAATTCCAGATGGAAGTAATTTCTGATTTATTTGAAGATGTAAGTTGAGTTGGAACTTGTTAATGCCTAAGAAGATAGGTTTCATGTTTTGAAGGTAAACGTATTTCATTAATCTTTCACCCATAGGAACAGCTAAAGAAAATACCTATTCTAAATGATTTTAATTTTTCTATTTTGCTGAGTGAAAAAGTATGCCTTTTAGTGAAATGTGTATTAAGTTGGATACTCTTTAGGGCCAGAAGCCTGTCACTTGTGTATTTAGCTTAGAATGTGGCATTTGACACTTTTAATTTCAAATTTGGTGGTAATTTATATCTTTTTTTTATATATGTATGGGTTACTGCCAGAATTTTTGCCCTTTCTCTGGAAAGGGAAAAGATGACAAAACAGACTTGGATAAATTTTGTTTGAAAACTGTAGAAGTACAATGAAAACTCACCTGTAGAGGAGGAAGAAAATGACTCCCTAATTTTCTTTTAAATTTTTCTTATTTTCTATCTTTCCTAATTTCTAAGAGATTTTCTCAGTTTCAAACTCTTCTACTTCTTCAAAATATGTTTTACTTTGATTTAAACCTTTCCCCTGAAGGTTCTTTTTCTATAGTATTCTGCCCTTATTTCGTGGGTAGAATATCTTCTGTTTTCTGAGAATATTACTGGCAGCATGTTTTATTTTCGTTTTCCTGCATCATTGTTGTTTCTTCCAAGTTGCTCTTTCCTGTTTTGGTCTTTTTCTGATTAGGTGCTCATAACTAGAATCCTTATTCACTATGGTTCTCTAATTATTATGAAGTATAATAGAAAGGTGGTGATAATACTTAGAGAAGCTACTAACTTAAAAGTGCTCAGGCTTTTAGAACTGCCACTATTAAAAGCAAAAATAGCCTCATGTTTAACATTTTATTAAAACTAAGCCATAAGTTTAAAAACATCTTTAAACATTCTTTAAAATATCCATTTTAGGGTGTTTGCCAGCTTCCAAGTAAAAATGAGGACAAGGAGTATCCGCACAGAAGAATCGATATCAGGTATTACCCAGACTTCCTTGCTGGCCTGTAGCATTTCCTTCTTGTCCCCTTTTCTCCCTCCCTCTGTGGATCTTGGATGTGACATAAATGTCTGGAGCCCCCTTTTACCCTGAAGGGCCATATGTTCTTGCAAAGTACAGTGTTTCGCTTGAAAACATACAAAGAATAATGATTATCTCTAGACTAATTTATTTTCTCCAGATTTGCAACTCATGGCACCTTCCACAGCTCAGAAGTAGTTTCCTGCCTGGGGGAGCTAGTTGTGATAAGTGATAAGGCTTTCATTTCTCTACATTCCTCCACACCTCTTGTAGAGCGAAGTTCACTGAAACCTAAACAGATCTCAGGGTGGGGTGATTTGAATGGTCTGCCTAATGGTGGCCTCCTCTTCAGGTTGTCAGACCACATAGACTTATTTTAGGTATTTTGTTCCTTATTAATGTTAGGAGTCCTATATTTGCTAAATTTGAAATGTGTAGCAAAAATTTATCTACTGTTCATTTTTTTAGGTTGATACCCAAAGATCAGTATTATTGTGGTGTTCTCTATTTTACTGGGAGTGATATTTTCAATAAGAACATGAGAGCTCATGCCCTAGAAAAGGGCTTCACAATCAATGAATACACCATCCGTCCCTTGGGAGTCACTGGTGAGTATTTATGTCTGCACTGGAGATAATCCCTGCCATCTGGAGAGAAAGCTATTTGCTGAGATGTTTTGGTTTAGCAAATTTAGTTTCTAAGCCTTCCAGTAACTATGCCCCTTAGTGCAGTTTCTTTGTATTGTTAGTCCCTAGGCAGTAGGAGGGGCTTTAATCCATAAGGTGTCCCTGGGCCTTCATTTGAAGACCATAAAGGATTTTTTAAAAAATGTATCCCTAAGACTTCTGAAGAACTCAGGTATTGCTTTTAGTGCCACACAAAACTGGGTAGCTTTGGCCCCATGCTTTCAGAGTGTAAAGAATAAGGATTGCTTAATCTGTGCCTTATGAGTCTTGTTAACATTTCACAACATACTCTGTGTTATTTCACAACATGCTCTATGCATTTTTGTCATTTTGCCCTATAAGTATAAAATAGGGCTTTCACTCTGGTAGACTAGGGCAGTGCTTCTCATATATCAGTGTTCATACACATCACTAGGGGGGCCTCATTAAATTCAGATTCTAATCCTGTGTGCTCGCAGTGGGGCTCAGAACTCTGCATTTCCAGTAGCTTCCAGGTAATGCCAGTGCTGCTAGTCCTAGCACTGCATTGTGAGTTGCAAAGGACTAACTGGAGTCTTTTATATGATACATGATGGCTACAGTGGAGATCCCGCAGAGAGGAACATCATAAATTTGAGTCCCTTTGATGGCCGTTGTTGGGGTACAAGGTTCCTCTTGTAGCACTGGTAACATATGTGACAAAGCTCAAACATGAGTTCATGCGAGAGGATGGAGCTGGTCATTATCTTTATTTTTGAGACAGAGTCTCGCTTTGTTGCCCAGGCTAGAGTGAGGGCCGTGGCGTCAGCCTCGCTCACAGCAACCTCAGACTCCTGGGCTCAAGCGATCCTCCTGCCTCAGCCTTCCGAGTAGCTGGGACTACAGGCATGTGCCACCATGCCCGGCTAATTTTTTCTATATATTTTTAGTTGGCCAATTAATTTCTTTCTATTTTTAGTAGAGACGGGGTCTTGCTCTTGCTCAGGCTGGTTTTGAACTCCTGACCTTGAGTGATCTGTTTGCCTCGGCCTCCCAGAGTGCTAGGATTTTTATCTTTTTTTTTTTTAGTGACTTGGTTATCATTTTCTTCTGAAATCGAGTCCTACCCAACTCTCAATCCTGAACTCTAACTAAATTCCAAAACTGGTTCTTAAAATAAGTTTCTTTTCTGTCTCTACTTACAGGAGTTGCTGGAGAGGCCCTGCCGGTGGACAGTGAGAAGGACGTCTTTGACTACATCCAGTGGAAATACCGAGAGCCCAAGGACCGAAGTGAATGAGGCCCGCCCGCCCTCCCGCCCACGCTGCCCTCTGGGAGTCTTAATTTATTTCTTAACCTTTGCTGCGTAAGAGTCTTGGGTGTTTTTAAATGATTGTTTCTTCTTCATGCTTTAGCTTGCTTTGTAGTCAATAAACCTCTCACACTGTTACTGGATGGTGTTCTTACCTTCTTAGCAAATGTTTGGTTCAAATTTACATATTAATGATCACACTTTGCTATGGGTTTAGTAGAGAAGTGAGAGAGGAGATGAGAACAGATCTTAGTGGGAAATTTTATTGTATTCCGTTCTGTGCTATAACTACATCACCCTAGTACCTTTTCTCCTATTTACTGATGATAAATTGACTAATATCAATTAAGGTACACCCTCTGCAAGATGTTAGTCTCTGGAAGATGAAATTAGGGACTTTCATAAGTTTAATTTTTTGATGGGCCCATATTTGATTTTGTAATATTTATTTATAACTTAAATAAAAGAACAGATGTGTAGTTTATCTCTTAAATGAAATCCGTAGCAATTAATTGTACTCTTATTAGAGCTTTCCTAAGCAAAACTACTTCTAAGATGCACAAAATATGGCCTTTTAAATGTCAAATAAATAAAAATGTCATTTTTTTTGCCTGAATTCTCTGAGGAAACTTTTAAGTACAAATGGTCAAAATATATAGGTAAAAACATTCCTTGAAAAGCTATAAAAATTATATAAATATAAGATGTAAAAAGTTATTAAATGATAAAGTAAAGCTATTGAAAACAAAGTGTGTGCAAATGCTTTGTGACTTACAAAGGACTATACAAACATAAGGTTGCCTTTTGAATCTTACTTCTTTGTTAGCCAAATTATTTTGTAGTGAAATGTCATTTCCCTTCTAAAAAAGGAAGGGAAATAATAGCATTTTTAAGGAAAAATATAGCATTTGCTATGATAATTTTCCCTGGTAAGATATAAGAATTAATTTACTTTAAGTTCAGATACCATCATTTTTTTCCCCCAGAGATACTGTCAGGTGCCAGCTCTTCACCAGAAATCAAAGACTTTTTTGGAGACGGAGATACTCGTCAGTGTGACTAGTGATCTGTTCACTGCATGTATATCGAAACATCACACTGTACACTTTAAGCATATACAATTTCAAAGAAAGATTTATTTGCACTAATTAAGTCACTAGATGAGAATTAAATTTTTTGCTATAGAATCACATACATCAGTTTTGTGGAGAATCAACGAAAGGCCGACACTACTCTCCATTCATCACAAGCCAGCATTTCACAAGTCTCTAGTTTCATTCTATTTCTGTCGCTACAAGATTTGATTTTAAGAGATGATTGTATGGAAATATTTTAAAATTAATATTGGATACTCTTTAAATACAATGAGGATCCCTTATTCCAAAATATTTAGTTTTTTATATTTTCTGGCATACTCTTAACCGAGCATGTTGTCTGTTGCCGGTCGCTTGGCTTCTGCATAACAGTCCAGGGCCACAGTCACAACGCTGGAAGATTTCCGGAGCTTGAGCAGAGTCTTTATGCCCTCTCCTGGAGCAGACCTGTCCCTCCAAGAGGACTGGCTTACAAATTTTAGTCCAAAAATGACGAGCACAGCAAAGTCCAGGGCCACAGTCGAAAGTTCTAAGACAGCTTTCTCCCTCTTGTCCTGTAACAAGATTAACACGGGCGTTAGTGAGGGATGGGAGAAGCGCCACATGGGGGGGGAACTGCCACCAGGATAAGGACTCTAGACCTATCCCTTCTAAGGGCCCTACGTCTGAAGGCCACAAAGTGAGGCTAGATGAGCATGCAGGTCTGACAGTGAGGCCTCACGCCAGCAACCACGACGCGATGGGAATTCCAGGCCTTCCTGACGGAATGTGTTGTCAGCCCCCGCCCTCTCGCCTGCTGACTACCTGAGCCGACTCCCCACGCGGTCTCTGTAGCTTTACGAAAGGACACACACCCCGTGTGTTTCTGGGGTGTGGAAGACTAAAGTCGGTTTCGGCCTATCTTTAGGAGGATAGGAGGAGATGTTTTTCTTAAATAAAATGTTCTCAGAATGCTGCTCTTACCCTGACTTCCTTGTGATTTCTTATTGTTTGGCTTCCTCTTGGGTTTGTTTTCCTGAATGGGGTGATCAGTTGTTTCTTTTGTATGTGTGCCGTCTTGGTCGTAGGTCTGTGGTTCCAACGTGGGGCTTGCACCTTCCATCGTGGTACAGACATCTGAGGGAGAGCCAGGTGTGACCAGAGTTATTAACCAGGACTAGAGCTGCGGACACTCAGATTATCACACTGTTGTTTAGTTGGGCAGCACCCTGGCCCTCGGCTTATGTCTGACTCTCCAGATTCTGGGACACGCACTGAATATTTACTTGCTCACCTATGGCAAAGGCAGTAGTTAAGGAATTAATGGAAGCCAAGTGAAAACAGAAGATTTTAATGATTCCAACTGGAACCTTTAAAATCATCATCTTCGGCACAGCGCGGTGGCTCACGCCTGTAATCCTTGCACTCTGGGAGGCCGAGGTGGGCGGATCGTTTGAGTTCAGGAGTTCGAGACCAGCCTGAGTGAGACCCCATCTCTACTAAAAATAGAAATTAATTGGCCAACTAAAAATATATACAAAAAATTAGCCGGGCATGGTGGCGATGCCTGGTCCCAGCCTACTCGGGAGCTGAGGAGAAGTCATTGAGCCAGTTTGAGTTGCTGTGAGCTAGGTGACGCCACGACACACTCTAGCCCGGGCAACAGAGTGAGACTCTGTCTCAAAAAAAAAAAAAAAATCATCTTCAAGTCATTGGCGAGAGTTGTTGCCAGGAAATGATTTGTTGCGTCAAGAAAAGGCAGCTGCATACATTTACTTGCGGCATGAATCTAGGAAGCTGCGTGAGAGTGCCTGCCTTGGACTATTCTAGTCTACGAGATTCAGGGGCTGCCTTCAGTTTAGAAACACCGTTGGTGGGAGCAAAGCAGGCCTGCGGGGGTGCAAGGCGGCTCACCATGCGCGCAGAGCGTGCCGGGGCAGCACATGGCGTGGCGCTGGCACCTCCTCCACAACCCGCGGCAGGCAGCGCAGAATGGCTTCCCATCTTGAGGCATGAGGCAGAATTTTCCAGTCCTGCAGTCTTTGTCGGACAAGCACCGTGGACCCTGCAGAGGGAAACTGGTCAGAAGGCTAGGGAATCTAAGCTGGCGTAAAGTGACTTTCTATGGAGGCGGGAGGTAGGGGACGCCAAAGCGGAGTGGCACTTTGACAGACTCTTGGCAGCACCTTCCTTTTTCAGTGTCATTGGTTTTCTCCCACAACGGGAGGTCCAATCACCTGTGTCTTCTTCACCTATTCTCTGCAAAGCTTGTGTTTGAAAAGTTGTCTTAAGACTCAATTTAGGCGAGCGCAAGGTGGCTCACGCCTGCTAATCCTAACACTGCTGGAGGCCGAGGGTGGGCAGATTGCTCGAGGATCAGGAGTTCAAGACCACCCTGAGCAAGAGTGAAACCTCATCTCTACATAAAAAAATAGAAAGAAATTAAATTGGCGGAACTAAACATATATATAGATAGAAAAAATAGCCGGCATGGGGTGCGCATGCCCTGTAGTCCCAGCTACGTCGGAGAGCTGAGCAGGAGGATCACTTGAGCCCAGGAGTGTAGAGGTGCTGTGACTAAGGCTGACCCCACGCACTCACCCAAGCCTGCAACAAAGCTGAGACTGGTCTCAAAAAAAAAAAAAAAAAGACTCAATTTAATTTTCTTATTCTCTGTGAAAACAGGAGAAAATGTTTTCTTAAGTGTGTCTTGCAGATGGTGATGAGATTTCCAACACGTGTTAACTGCGGAAGCCACGCTGCAGTTTAATCACATACGACATGGGGTTGGCGGCATTCCCGTGGGATGTTTCGCTCCAGGGAGCTGCGTCGTAGCTGCCTCTCATTGGCCGGAGGAGCCCTGCCCAAGTGAACTGTCCTTGGATTTTTATTTATGTACTTTTTCCCCATTTGTTTTTTATTTGTATATATTCATGGGGTGCAAGTGCAATTTCGTTACATCGACATATTGCAAAAGTCAGGGCCGTCCTTCGATTTTTAATCATGCCTCGTTCCCAGAGAAAGAGATATCAAAGGTCAATTTTTCTCATCCACAGTTGATGCTTTTTCATATGTATTAAATATACATATGTCATATATGGTATATGTGTGTCATATATACTATAACATACACATACATAAAATGATCCCTAAACCAATTCTGTGAGGTGTGACAGTGACAATCACAACGCGCCGTGGCACTCTGTGTTTAAATTCTAACGCCCGTGTTCACTGGCCGTGTGGCTTTGGTTCAGTTCCTTGGCGTTTTCTTCATCTGGAATTAGGAGACGCGGTGCCTATCTCAAGTGGTGAGGAAGATTAAATGAGGTGTTACAAATAAATGGCCTGGCACAGGGCAGAACTTCCTAAATGTTAGCTTACTCCCTGACCGGCGGGTTTACAGCTGAACGGCCTGAGAAGCCGCCGTGCTTATTTAAAACGAGCCGGGCAACTGGGTTCACCAGGACGCTTTCCTAAATCAATTTAGCTGACAGATAAGACCTCACAGATTACTTTGAACGACTTGGGTAACCTCGAATACGGCGCCCACCGGCTGTCACCGGCCCCCTCCCCGAGAGACCCTACCTTCCGAGCCCCGTGCAGGTCGGCAGAGCTCCTGATGCTGTTGAAGTCCAGGACCAGGGCGCCCAGCGGGGAGCAGAGCCAGCCGAGCCCCAGCAGCACCGCCGCCACCATCCCTCGCCGCCACGGCTGCTCCAGGGCGCGCACACTGTCCCCCACGCTGCTCCAAACCCACGGCAGAGCCCCCGCCACACTGGCCACCCGGCCAGTCCTCTGCAACCGGCTCTTTCTGAAAGAGAAGCAAATCTTAGTCTGAGTAAGGTGCTCGGGAGTCAGGTGTGGCCGGCAGGTTCTCTCTTAAACGATTTATAGGCAGATGTGCCCTCAGCTCTCCCCCACCCTGCCCCTCCCCTCCTCAGCCCACACAGGCTTCGACAAATCCCCACAAATCTGTTTGATCGATAGTTCAAAACGAAGGCTCAGTAGAAGGAGAGAAGGGGCAGGGCCACGCGCCTTCTCCTCCAAGGGGTTGAATCCCTCTTAATTACTGCGTATCAAAGTCAGTTCAAAGGGCCAGCAGCAGAGCAGGATGTCTGTATCAAAGGCAAACTCCGATAATCGCCTGCATTTCCTACCCTCGGTAATCCTCGGGGGAGGGAGGGGGTCCGGCCTAAGATCTGTTTTCACAGCTAATTGTGCTCAAAGAGAGAATGAATCGTTTTTTGGCCAGGACGCTGTAGAGGATGCCAACAACTAATGAGTTGTAAAACATACCGAGAAGAGAAGCGTCACACGGGCTTCCGATGGGGGGGACAGGTAGAAAGAGAGAAAACGCCTTCTGATTAGCTCTGGTGGGGATGTAAAAACCCAATGGCTTGAATGTCGTGAACATGATAGCACCTGTTCTGACCGAATGCCGTTCGGGAAACCACTCCCCTTTAAATGAAAACGGAACTGTTTGAAGTTAGGGTTATTTAATCAGCAAAATAATGGCATTTTTAAAAACTTCATTTTATCGACAGTGGGACGACCGCGGAAAGCCCATTTTGTACAGATTTACACAATTTAGTAGGAAGCTTTACATGCACGTTATGAACAACACATTCCATTTGTGTTGCATTGCGTTAAATGGACTTAAGCACAACAGGTGGTACCCAAGTCTCTAGCTGACTTCAGATGGAATTTCATGCATTTTCGGTTTTCTTCATTTGAATTTTTGAAAACTTCTCAATTCCTTGTCTGATTTCCCATCTAGACTGTTACAGAAGTCAGGTAGTTTAGATGTGTGTTTATAACAGCCTTAGGTACTTTAAGGATAGAACAATCTAGATCTGGGTGCTAAAACTCCTTTTTCCTTTCTTCATTGTCTCCATTGTTCTCAGTGTAGACCCGCCGGAGTGCCGCAGGTGGGGAGCCCTGTTAAAGTCCACGGTGCAGCTCCTCTGCGCTTCACGTGGCAATCTTAGTATCACGGGGTCTCTGCGTGGACCAACCGACACCGGCCCATGGACACGCATCTCCACATTCTGTGCACTCAGAACATTCTCGGTTTTGAGTGATGCAGGTGCCGTCCCGAGGCTGACGCAGGTGAGCCCAGTCTCCACTACTCGGCTCTGGTGCTGGGCTTGCCTGCTACTCACAGCGCAACGCGAGCTGCTTCCTCCTTGAGTACTATTTTTTTTTTATCACTTAAGCCGAAAACATCAAACACCCTTTGATAGTATGATAAGCCTGATGACTAGGGGTGTTAGAGAATTTATTTTGAAGTTGGACAATTATGACCAAGGATAAAGGAGAGCGCCCCAGGGTCCCGTCCCTGCCGGTTTCTCTGCTTCCTGTTGCTTAACTGTAGAAAGGATTTGAGGGTACCAAAGGCCTCAGGCAGTGTACACAGACAAAAGCACTGGTGGGAAATCCTGAAACATAGCGTAAACAGTCATTGAGCACTTAGCATGTAGCAGAACCTGCGGGCAGATGCTGGGAATAAAACATAAAACTCTGAGGATCCGGAGTCCAGACAGAAGACACGTATGCATAGATGATTTTAATATACTATGGCAAGCACTAAAATAAAGGTTTAAAATGCAGGGCTGGAGGGTTTATAAAGGTATAAAAACAGAAGGGCATGATTTAGACCTTCTGGAGAAATAAAGGAATGCGTTTACAGGGGGTAATGTTTACAGAGCTGGGTTGTGGGATGCATACATGTTTCCTAGGCTGAGAAGCAGGCAACTGTCTGACTCAGGCTCAGAGGGAGAAGTGTGCGCGAGAGCAGGGAGGTGCATTTAGGCCCTAGTAAGAGAGTCTGTGTGGCTGGGGCAGACGGCGGAAGGATGAGATGAAGCTAGACTGAAGGACTTGATATACTACGCTAAGAACATTGGGTTTTACTCTCCATGCAATAAAAAGTCATTGGAGATATTTGAGCTCAGAAATGGCAGGATCTAATTTGCTTTTCAGGAAGACAGTGCTGGTGGCAGTGAGGACTGGGACAGAGGGGATGCGAGAGGTCACTTGGGACTAGTCATGGCCCCAGGGACAACGAAGAGGTCTCATCCAAGGCAGTAACACAGCGACAAGGAGAACCAAGAGAAGGATGGGGTCTGAGGCTGAGTCTGCGTCACTTGCTGTAGGCGTGGGGTGGAGTGGGCGGGAGGGCGGAGGATGCTTCCCACCTCTCTGGCTTGGCCGGGTGGACGGCGAGGGCCCTGAACACGGGGGAGTCAGGGCAGAAAGTGGGTTGTGGGGCAGGATGAGAGTTTGCTTGAGAAAAGCCATCTGAGTAATCTGCGTTGCTGGGTGCCTGACAGGGAGCGGTATCTCCCATGAGCCCCGCTCTCTGTTTTGACTTCCAGAGATGGGAGAGGAGTGGGTGCAGAACCAGGGGGAGACAGACAGGGTGGACAGCACTGAAACGCGGCTCCTCTGTCTTTGTGCCAGGCTCTTTCTGTTTCTCTTTCTCACTCTCTGTCTTTGCACTGCAAGAGTGTGCCACAGCTCTGGGGCCGGCCCCTCCGCCTGACCACCAGGCTGCCCCCGCCGCCGCCGTCGCCGCCCCTCCCGTCCACGCCCTGTGCACTCACCTGCCTGTCATGGCACTTATCAAACCGCACTGCTGCGTGACCAGCCTCGGCAACACAGTGAGACCCCGTCTCTACAAAAAATAAAAATTAGCCGGGTGTGGTTGTGCGCCTGTAGTCCCAGCTACTTGGGAGGCTGAGCTGGGAGGATGGCTGGAGCCGGGGCTACAGTGAGCTGTGATTGCGCCACTGCACTCCAGCCTGGGGGACAGAGTGAGACCCTGACTCAAAAAAATAAAACGGGCCCGGAGTGGTGGCTCACACCTGTAACCCTAGCACTCTGGGAGGCCGAGGCGGGAGGACTGCTCAAGGTCAGGAGTTCGAAACTAGTCTGAGCAAGAGTGAGACCCCGTCTCTACTAAAAATAGAAACAAATTGGCCAACTAAAAATATATAGAAAAAATTAGCCGGGCATGGTGGTGCATGCCTGTAGTCCCAGCTACTCAGGAGGCTGAGACAGGAGGATCGCTTGAGCCCAGGAGTTTGAGGTTGCTGTGAGCTAGGCTGATGCCACGGCACTCTAGCCAGGGCAACAGAGTCAGACTCTGTCTCAAAAAAATAATAATAAAAATAAAAACAAAAACAAAAAACCCTCCACTGCAATTGTCTACTTATTTGTCTCTTCAACTAGACCAGAAGGTGAGGGCAGGGCTATGTCTAATTTATCTTCACATCCTCACCTTTGTGTGCCTGTCACATGATAAAAGCTCCTTTATGGATTCATTTTATGTGATGGGCACATTATTTGGATTTACAGTGACTTTGTGTCTTTGGGCAAGTTGGTTCACCTTCCTGGGCTGCAGTCTCCTCCCCTGTGAAGCTGGCCCTACACAGACGTCAGTGCCAGCCTCTGGCCTGCTGCGCGGTCCGTGGACATCTGCTCAGTGCGACTCATTGAAGAAACACCTCCTCTAGCCTGAGGCCTCGTTTGCGAGACGAGACTATGATTTCTGTCTCTGAAAAGCCAGAGCAATTTTGAGGAAAGGAGGTATGTGCAGTCCTCCCTGGAAAATGACTATTGGTGTATTTTTGTTTTGTTGTTTTGAGACAGACTCTGTCACCCGGGCTAGAGTGTCATGGTGTCAGCCTAGCTCACAGCAACCTAGTAGCTCAGCCTCCGAGTAGCTGGGACTACAGGCACGCGCCACAACGCCTGGCTGATTTTTTCTATATATTTTTAGTTGTCCAGCTAATTTCTTCCTAATTTTTTTTAGTAGAGACGGGGTCTCACTCTTGCTCAGGCTGGTCTCGAACCCCGGAGCTCAAAGGACCACTCGCCTCAGCCTCCCAGAGTGCTAGGATCACAGGCCTGAGACACCACCTGGCCTACGGGTGTATTTTTAAACCTGCCAAGGCTGCCTGTGCGTTGATAAGCAGGGCAGGGCGCTGCGGCAGCGTCTGTGGCCGTGAGCCTGCGTGTCCATTACTTGGGGAGGGGCGATGTTGGGGCCGTGGGAAGAGGATGACAGGCAGCAGTAAGCGGGCAGAGGAAGCTTTCAAAACGTTCTGCCGAAGAGGCATTCTCTCTGCTCGGAGGTCAGGCCACCGAGGCTGGCACCACGGGCTGAAGCAGCAACACGCCCTCCGCCCCCCACCCCAGCACCCTGTGCCGGGCCCTTCTGAAGGGACCCCACAAGGTACTCCTTCAGCCACAGGACAAAGGCTGCCCACCTGCCTGCGCAGTTGTGGCCAAATGTTGCCCCGGGCAAGGATGACTGAAAACCTCAGGCTGATCCTCTTGGTTTTGTCCTGAGCATCTGGCCAAAGAAACACTAAACTCCAGCAATCCCGACTGAGCCTAGACTAGGGAAATGAAATTCCCCCCAGAGTTCCCAAGGCTCCAGTTTCAGCACTGGGGGGCTGATTCCACTGTCTGGGGATTCGCGACGACTGCAGGCTGTGTCTGAGAGCTCCGCCTGGGGCCCCCAGAACCGCACCTGCTGGAGTTGAGGTCGAAGGCAGGGCGTCAGGGCCGATGATTCATATTCCCCCAGGAGTGGAAATTCTTCTTGTGGCTCCTGAGTCAAAACCAGTTTGATTTCCATAAATTTTGCTTTTCTTAAAGGAAAATCAAAGTAGGCCGGGCGCGGTGGCTCACGCCTGTAATCCTAACACTCTGGGAGGCGGAGGCGGGCAGATCCCTCGAGGTCAGGAGTTCGAAACCAGCCTGAGCAAGTGCGAAACCCGTCTCTACTAAAAAATAGAAATTAGTCGGCCAACTAAAAATATATAGAAAAAAATGAGCTGGCGGCGGTGCATGCCTAGCCTGTCCCAGTACTCGGGGAGCTGAGGCGGGTGGATTGCTCGAGGTCAGGGGTTCAAAACCAGCCTGAGCAAGAGCGAGACCCCCTCCGTCTACTCATAAATAGAAATAATTGGCCAACTATATATATTAGAAAAATTAGGCCGGCGTGGGTGGTGGCGATGCCTGTAGTCCCAGCTACTCGGGAGGCTGAGGCAGGAGGATTGCTTGAGCCCAGGAGTTTGAGGTTGCTGTGAGCTAGGCTGGACGCCGCCCGACACTCACTCTAGCCTCGGGCGACAGAGTGAGACCTGTGTCAAAAAAAAAAAAGAAAGAAAGAAAGAAAGAAAAGAAACAAGCGTGGCTTTGGCAGATCTCACAGGAAATGTCCAATAAAATAAAGGATGCGATGCGGCGCGCTGACGCGGGCAGACAGGGGTTGCAGGACATAGTCTCAGAGGGGACGGAAGGTTGTCATCGGTCCCCGAGGCGAGACGGCGACAGCGGCCACCCGCGACGCCAGGGGGCAGAGGCCCGGCGCCTGGCGCGAGGCGGGCGGCGCCCGGGAGGCGGGTGCCGGCTCCCCGCGCCACCGGAGCGGCCCCTTGAGGGCCCAGCCACTCCCGGCCTCCGGGTCTCGGAGCCTCGCACAGCTGCCGCGGCTTCAGGATCCGCCGCGCCCGTGTACGCCGCCCGCCTGTGGCGGGGACGCTCCGCCCTGGCAGCGCCCTCCACCGCGTGTCTCCGACCTTCGCGGGCCCCGCCGAGGAGCAGGCCGCGGCATGTGAGGGAGGGCAGGTCTCTGCCGTCTCCCTCTGCACTAACAAGTCCGGACGGCTGGCCTTGTGTGCCAGTCCCGGCGCCTCCCATCTTCCGTCTCTGCGCCGCGTCGCCCGCGGCCCTCACACACTGGGCGCGTGGCGGGACCGCAGCTGCTGAGGCGCCAGGCGGCGAAGGCGGGCACGGCCGAGTGCGCTTGCGCGGCGGGACAGCACGGCCCAGTGCGCTTGCGCGGCGGCGCTCTCCCTGCGACCGCGTGTCTCGCAGGCGCCGGCAGCGTCCTGCGGGCCAGTGGCGTAAAATGTCCAAAAGTGGTTTACGGCCGGGCGCGGTGGCCCTCGCCTGTAATCCTAGCACTCCAGGAGGCCAGGCGGACGGATTGCTCCAGGTCAGGAGTTCGAAACCAGCCTGAGCGAGACCCCACTCCCTCTCTACTAAAAAATAAAAAAAAAATAGAAATTAATTGACCAACTAAAAATATATATACAAAAACTTAGCAGGGCATGGTGGCGCATGCCTGTAGTCCCAGCACTCGGAGGCTATGAGGCAGGAGGATCGCTTGAGCCCAGGAGTTGGAGGTTGCTGTGAGCTGGGCTGACGCCACGGGACTGCAACAAAACGAGACTCTGTCTCAAAAAAAAAAAAAAGTGGTTTACGAAAAACAAAAGCAAAAACCCAATGATATTTCTGCCCCAAGGCAGTTTACGCCGCGCTCCTCTCACGTGGGGCTCCTGCTCGTTTCCCTCGTTTCTCCTCATTCCTGCAATTCCTTTCCTCTTCCCGTGGGGTCACCCAACACGCTCCACTTATCCCTGTTCCCTGCTTTCAACGCAGCGTCCTCTCAGGTTCGGAGGTTTCCTCCGCTGGCGCCGCAGGCCGGAGGGAGGGGCGAGCTTGGCGGCCTGCCGGGCTCCGTGCGGGGCGGGGGCCCGGGCGTGCGGGACTGTGGTCGGCGGGGTGTCCGGGACCCGCCGGGCGGTCTCCGTGTCGGGCGGTGGCCCCGTGCGTGCGGGACTGTGGTGGGCGGGGTGTCCGGGACCCGCCGGGCGGGCTCCGTGCCGGGCGGTGGCCCCGTGCGTGCGGGACTGTGGTCGGCGGGGTGTCCGGGACCCGCCAGGCGGTCTCCGTGTCGGGCGGTGGCCCCGTGCGTGCGGGACTGTGGTGGGCGGGGTGTCCGGGACGCGCCGGGCGGTCTCCGTGTGGGGCGGTGGCCCCGTGCGTGCGGGACTGTGGTGGGCGGGGTGTCCGGGACCCGCCGGGCGGTCTCCGTGTGGGGCGGTGGCCCCGTGCGTGCGGGACTGTGGTCGGCGGGGTGTCCGGGACCCGCCGGGGCGCTCTCTGTGTGGGGCGGTGGCCCCGTGCGTGCGGGACTGTGGTGGGAGGGGTGTCCGGGACCCGCCGGGGTGGTCTCCGTGTCACACGGGCGGTGGCCCCGTGCGTGCGGGACTGTGGTGGGCGGGGTGTCCGGGACCCGCCGGGCCGGTGTGCGCCGTCCGCTAACCGAGGCAGGGAGGGTTGTGGAGGGAGGGCCGGTGTGACTTTGGGGAGCAGAGAACGGGCGTTTCCAGGCGGCCCGCGGGCCCAGCGGAGGAGCCAGCAGAGAGGAATCCTGCAGGCACTCTGCAGGGAGCTCCTTCCCCGAGACAAAACGGTTTCTGCCAAGCCTGTAATCCCAGCACTCTGGGAGGCCCAGGCGGGCGGATTGCTGGAGGTCAGGAGTTCAAAACCAGCCTGAGCAAGAGCGAGACCCCGTCTCTACTATAAAATAGAAAGAATTAATTGGCCAACTAATATGTATAGAAAAATGAGCCGGGCATGGTGGCGCATGCCTGTAGTCCCAGCTACTCTGGAGGCTGAGGCAGGAGGATCGCTTGATCCCAGGAGTTGAGGTTGCGTGAGCCGGCTGACGCCATCGCACTCACTCTAGCCTGGGCAACAGAGTGAGACTGTGTCTCAAAAAAAAAACACAAAAAACAGTGTCTGCCATCTGCAAATCTGGACCCATGGTAGACAGAACTGGTTGATTCTTTTCCTTGGAAGTCAGGGGTGAACCCCATTGCTTGAGGGACCCTCAGTCCTGCCTGGAGTCCCAATTCTGAAGAAGCACAAACTTAGGAAGTAGTGGCTACCCATGGGCTCTGCACACTGTAGCTGTGGGGACAAAGCATGCGCCTTGCATTCCGGGGTGCCTCCAGGGCACTGCCTGGTTCCCCAAGCCCCTCCCTGGGAGTCCCTGTGGTCCGAACTCCCTGTCAGGGTGAGCCCCACCTGGGTACTTCTTCCCCCACCTGGTGCTGGGGGCACTGATTTGTGTGTGGGGGTGTGACCTTGCCATTGGACCCAGGATCTTACTCTGAGTGTGTCCAGGCCTCCCCAGGATTTTGGTTAAAGGAAACTACCTGTGGCTGAAGCCTCATTCTGGGGGGCCAACCATGGACTTCTGGGCTCTGCATGGTAGGGGTGAAGTCCGTGGGGCTCCTGGGCCAAGCGTCTGCCCCAGGCGGGCTCGGGAGGGCAGACCTGGGACTTGACCTTAAGCTCTCTGGTTCCAAAGTTTATTCTTCCCTCTGTCCCATGCTATCCAGCTCACCAACTGCAGTCCATTCCCAAACATCCAATGGCTCAAAACCTAGCAACTATATATACACCAGAAAATGAAATCCCAGCGAGCACTGCCTGGGCTGTTTCGGATTCCACACAACTGTGAGAGGATGTCAGCTGCTTCTTTTTTTTTTTTTTTTTGAGACAGAGTCTCACTTTGTTGCCCAGGCTAAGTGAGTGCCGTGGGCATCAGCCTCCTCACAGCAACCTCAAACTCCTGGCTCAAGCGATCCTCCTGCCTCAGCCCTCCCGAGTAGCTGGGACTACATGCATGCACCACCATGCCACCTAATTTTTCTATATATATAGTTTGCCAGTTAATTTCTTTCTATTTATAGTAGAGACAGGGTCTTGCTCTTGCTCAGGCTGGTTTTGAACTCCTGACCTCGAGCTATCCTCCCGCCTCGGCCTCCCAGAATGCTGGGATTACAGGCGTGAGCCACCGTGCCCGGCCAGGATGTCAGCTTCTTTCCTGAATGATTCTGTATGTAAACGGGATTCTAGCGTGTCACCGGGAAGTGGTTAAGACTAAATGACTTGTAGGCTGTGTCAGCCGGGCTGTGATCTAACCTATGGTGACAAAATTGGTTTCCCCATAAAAACAACTTCATAAACATTTGCTGCCCTTTTGACATTCAAATTAGACTCTGACTATGGTAGATAGCCCCCAACACACCAGCCAATCCTAGCTCATAACTGTGTTCACAACCTCACGAAGATCTTGGGGGGGGTCTGGAGAGTGAGCCAGGGGCAGCCCCAGGCCGGCCCCAGGCTCAGCTTTGGCGCCACATTGTGTCCTCGCTCCCCCTTGTGGCCGGGAGTGAGGTGAGCACTCAGAAGGCCCAATGTCAAGGCCAGGTGATCTCAGAAGCATTTCCCAATTTCTGGTGGAAAGTCCCCACGGACCAGCACTCTCTTTCTCATAAATCTAGGTATTTCCCCACCCTATGAAAGTGAGCCTAGCTTTTCTAATTATAAAAGAAATACATGTTTCCAAATTTTAGAAATTTTGGAAAATACATAAACGAGAGAAGAAAATAGTCACTGTCAAATTTTGGTAAAATTTTCCCAATTTTTTCTCTATGCAGGCACATATACACATATACATGCTGCGTTTATTTAATATGTGATATAATTAATCTATTACCAGCTCCAGAACTAGCCATTATGTGCACCTTCTCCACCCAATCCTGTCTCCCCACCAGAGGTACACATTGATGCTGTTTCGGTGTTTTTATTAGAGATGGGGTCTTACTATGTTGCCCAGGCTGAAGTACAGTGGCTATTCACAGGTGTCAACATAGCACCTGAAGCCTCAAACTCCTAGACTGAAAAGATCCTCTTGCCTTTGCCTCCCTAGTAGCTGGGACTACAGGTGCAAGTCACCATATTCGGCTTGGTGTTTATGTTTATTGTTTCCTTGCTTCTTCTTCTTCTTCTTTTTTTTCCCTTGAGACAGAGTCTTGCTCTGTCACCCTGAGTAGAGTGCAGTGT